ACAACCGACGGAGCCGCATCAGTCAGATGTGCAGAAACAACCAGTCGAAATAAAAGGATACCGCAAGGAACAGGCGGAGCCAACGATTGCAGTCCGCAGGTCTAGCCATCAGACAAGCCAGATTGACGAGGCACTCTTGAGGGAAGATAGTTGTGGTGATTTGGACTTCCGTGACCGCAATCCATACACGACTAGGTACAGTTTGATGTCATCCAATCACCGTTCAGGAAGCTCGACCAATGGTACATCGGGCGAACATGACATCCGAGTTAGCACATATGATACGTCGATGCAAACGGTTACGTGATTAGAGGATGCTCGTTCAACCAATGATATGGACTATTACATTCCTTAAAACATGATCTAATTCCATCAATAAAGATAAGCATTTGCTGCTATCAATTCCTCGTGTATTTTATTGGTGTCCGCAGTTCGGGTTGGAGCCAATTCAGTTCTGAGCAGTACAATACGGATTCTGGTATTCCTAAAATCAATACTATTTCAATTACCAGAGTAAATTCGAATGTGAAAAGATAAGTTCTATCGATGTGGCCTCGTAGCTCAGCTGGTAGAGCGTGCGCGGCGAAAACGTGCGTCCATACGTGGGTTCGAATCTCACCGAGGCTACTGAACTTTTCACAATCGACATACAACTTGTGAGTTGTTTTAATCAATAACTCCAATATATATAACTGCTTCTGTGTAACCTAATGCTAAATTCCCTGAAATATTATTATTGCCGTCGGTCGTGCCAGAACAAGTGCCATCGTGCCCTTGACTACCGTCTGAATTTGACCGTCCCGTTTATCTTAGACCCGAAATGTTTCACTGAGTAAAACCTGACTGACACCGAGGGTTCTGTCAATCGTATCACTTATTTTGAAGGGAATGCTCAGGTTGATATATTTTTGGCAGTAAAATGTACAATTGAGAGAACATTTAGGAATATAACTGAAACACAGAGACACAATGAGCAGTACAAGATTTATCTCAGTGGATTTACTGTCCACCAGAAAATGCTTTTTTCAACTTGACTACTTCATTTTACTTATAACGTGATTTCGATTTCAGTTCCCACTTTCGTCTGGATTTCAAGGGTGATTATGAAAAGCTGCATTTTCCTTGAACCCAGCATCTGACCTGATTGGATGAGTTTTCTTGGCTTTCATATATACTGTAATCCCTCAGTGTGATACTAGCTTGTTTAATCGTCCGCTTTGATTGACAACCTCGCTGTGTACAATACACGTCTTAAGGAATCAATGCAGTTGTCGAGGTATTTGTTGTCGTTCAAATTAGCTCGAACTGTGTTACGTCACTTGGTTCAGCTGATTCATGCGATTGATCGATTGAGAAAACTAATCGATTTAGAGTGCTTATTGAACTCGCATAGAATTACAATTAAAAAACCCTATGTTCAGGTACAATTTTAGGATTGCAAAAGCAGAGAGGCAGGCCTAGCTTTTATATCACCGCATTAATGACTGTTCCCACGATACCACCACGAATGCTCCAGGATAGAAACACTCTAATTCACTGCGAACGGCTTTGTTCTTGAGTATTTGTCTTTCACTCAATTTTCTATTTTTGGTTTATTTTCCCATGTTCAACCTCTGTGTACAAACGGTCGAACAATCGGAATTTAGAAAAATGAACAATCTTATGATGTCAGTTTAAAGATTTCATTTTGCACGCCGAACGGTTGGCGTGGAAAAATGACACAATATTCTAGAAAGTAATTCCAACTGAATGGTCTAAAAATTGAACTGGAAGCAATGAAGCAAACTTTTGTTTTTAGCGAACCATTTCTCAACCATTAGGTGCTCACAATAGTTTTCAAGGTTTCATTGCACGGCAGGCACCAATTTATATGACGATGCGCGATAAGCACCAATCGGTGAGCGTATAAACGCCACGACGGTTTGTACTTGCAGCTTCTTTACGATAGCCGTAAACAAAATACTGTTTTTTTCTATATTTGCAGTCTTTATTTATTCAGAATTCACAGGTGGTCTGATGTCAACCGGTGCTACTGACTTTTCTAAATGTGAAGCCTCTGATAAAACACATTATTCAGTATAAATAACTGCTAATAATAGACAAACCAATGATCTTTGTAAGTCTATGAAAACAAATTATTGGGAGGATTGATTTGTGGATGGGTTCTGTGGTTTCATGATGGGTCAGCAGAATGTCTGACGAGATTTCATTTACGAAGACAGATGTGTCTAGCCGAGAATATTGTTCCAAGGTGATCACGAAATCACAGTCATGGGCAAAGTATACAACAATCATGAATTGTTATTTGTCGACTGCCTGCTGTTTTGCTGATGTACTTTTGTCAGACATTTTACCTCATTTTCTTTCCACCTGTTGTGTGTCCCCCCCACGATTATCATGACCGAACCCAAGCTATAGGAAGAAAACACAGATTTCGTTTCTTCTTTTTGCACTTAAACCGAATACACTTTTCCAAAACCTTTAGTACACTTTTTAGTCAAATAGATATGAATGGATAAAAAAACCAACGAGATCTACTGAAAAATCGTAATATAATAATCCTGTATCACACCCTTTGTGTTTTGTTTTGAGAAACGATTTATGCTTTGCTGCTAGTTCCAGTGAGTTTGAGGTTATTTCGAAATAAGCCAATTTAGGTTGTACCGTGGGTATAAAAACCCGTTCTTATGCATTATTTTTAGTGTGATAAGCTTGGATTTGTGTAATAAAATCGACATCTGCTCATATATTTTTCAAAAACATATCGTTGTGTATATGGTAATAGCATTAGTGACTAGGAGGAACCATAAAATGGGGTAGAAGTAGGAGGTGGTGAATGCCATGCATGATTCACCTGCAATCT